AACTTTAAAACAAAAAAAGAGGTAATATATCATTTGTATATGAAGGACGAGATAAATTAAAGCCAGCTAATAGTTTAAGCTGCAGTTTAAGCCATAGTTTGAAAATCGCTTAAAGTTATAAAAAAAAAAAAGAAAGAAAGAAAAAAGGTTAATTTTGGCTTTAATTTAGCTAACAGCTTAGGCGAGACCAACTGGATTCTGTGTTTTACATTACCCCCTCTCCCCTCCTTGGCGTTCACCTCTCCTTCATAGTAAAATTTTTAAAAATTTTTTTTCAAAATTTTTTTTTCCGAATTGTTCCGTGACTGTATAAAATTTTCCGAGATATCCCGTAGCTCTATGTATATTTATCTGAATTTTTTTTTACTATAAGGGAGAGGGGAACGCCGAGGGAGTAATGTAAAACACAGGATCCAGTTGATCTCGCCTTATCACGCAATTAAAGGATAGGATTTTCATGTTTCGATGAAGCTTTTGGGTTTGGTTAAGGAATATTTTTCGCCTTACTGTATTTTATTTTCACCTCATCAACCTGTGTATTACGTACTGTATGAAAATTCTTACTTTCGTGATTCTTTCATTTTTATGCACGACTATGACTTTCATTTACTCTTTTAAGATAGTAACTCCAGGCTTAGATCAAGTGCCTATTTGGGTCACAGCTTCACTAGTAATCGCCTGATTTTTGAACTGGGATTGAGGCATCTTTGTAAGAACCTGATCAATTTTAATTTAAAAATTCTCGAATCCCGTATGCCTATTGAATTTGAGAATGTTCTTAAGCATCGAGATTCATCAAGATTGTCTTTGAAGTTTCCAAAAATAAAGATAGGTGAATTACAGTTATCCGAACTTTGAGTAAAAACTCAATCGATTGCAATATTGAAATTATTTTTAAGATTCTCATATACAAGTCGTTCTTAAACATTATGATTAAACAGGTTTAAAATTTGTTTATTAAGTTAGTTGCTTCGAGCTTTAAATGAAAGCATCACTAAATACTGTATATGCATTTTTCAATATTTTCGAATAACACAAAAACTGTATAATTAAAAATATCCTCAAATTAGTTAGTTGCTTTGTTAAAACTAGAAAACGAATTAAGCGATGTGTTTCATACAACAGCAAACTATATATATATATTTAATTTATATTTCAGTTTAAATCTAAAGTTGAAAAGAGTATTTGTTACAATCGTGTAGATACAGTTTATTCAATGATAATTATTTTCTATAGTCTCTAAGACTTTATTACAAATTTATATTATTAGTCAATATCATACCATAAAGTTATAGCAATAATGAAATTCTATCATCGGGATTTAGGAAATGTTTTGATTATTTGGATAAACGCTTGGGATTTAGATAAATGTTTGGGACTTTGAAAATATTTGAATTTTTAAGAATGTATTTTTTTTTTGCGTTTTGGTAAAAAAAATGAAATCTGATCAAAAACCGCTATAATTATTAATTGATTCGGATTACTTCATTATCTAAATGAAGTAAAAATTATGCTTGTACATGTATTAGGTCTTATTTGGTAATAAAATAATGATATCGTATTTGCTTACTTGTTCTAATTATATGTACAGTACTATGCAAATCTTCAGCATTATAAAATTTACTTATATATCATAATCACTACTGCACTATGAAATTAACAAATCTCACACCTGCACTCATGTGTGACAAACTGATTAGTTAAATATTTAGCTAGACACAACGCCATTTATTCTCCGGTTCTTTTTATGTAATACTTTTATATTATATTTTCCCCAGAACTTAAGATCGGGCTTACCCGGAGATTTTTAATTATACATCATTTTTTTCTCGCTTTTTTTTTTAATGATTTAACGAATTTTTTAAGCTGATAGAGTGCTAAAGAAAATTAAAAATGAAAAAAGGAAAGAAATGAAGGAAATCATGTAACTGCAATAAATCAAAATTTTATAAATTTCGTATTTTGATTTTAAAAAGAAATTAGTATAGAATTATAATAAGAACTGCGGAATGAATCAGTTATTATCCCGAAGTATATATTTATTAGATTATTATTGACGTCCATGTTTAACAGCCGGTCTAAGTTATAATTTTTCAGTAAAAATTTCAATTGGGATTTAATTATCTAGGATATAACAGATTTATTACTTGCCATCTACAAACAAATTTTTATAAATCGTCTTCAAACGTGAAGATTAAAATTAAACCATGTGGTTAATGTTATATTCGATCACCTAAAATACTGTAAATAGCTATTAGTAGTAGAAATATGCGATTTTAAAAGTTACTTGGCTAGGGTGGCCAATGGGGATAGTTGCAAATTTCATTCGTAAGCAAACAAGAAATTTTATGTACGTAGTTGTCTTCAAAAAAAAAAAAAAAACGCGACAATCGGCCGACCACTATATCTCCGATTCAGTATTTTAATTTTTACTAATTTGAAATTCAGATTCTTTGATTCCCATATAATTATATAAAATCATAATTTATAAACATTTTTAATTACGAAAAAGTTGAAATCAAGGAAATAAATGTTTGCTAATATACTTAAATTAACGACATCAAAGATATGATATATTCTATAATTTAACCATAAAACAGATACTGATGTAAGAATATGAAAATCTGACAGTATTCTATATAGTGACACATAACATGTGCATGATCATACGCATAATCATGAACATTATGCGCATGTTTTTTTTATATTACTGTAATAACGCAGGCAAGCCCCACAATTGAGCAAAAGTCCGAGAAATTTCAAAATATTCTGATAAACTCTAAGTAAATTTCGAATAACTCTCATGTGCATAATGCGTATGAATTTGGAAATGTAATAATATGCACATCACTAATTCTACAAAAAAGATATTTTGACTAAAATTAATATTATATTGTTAAACCTATATAAGAAGTTAATGGTTATCATTAATGATTTCAATTTCAAATTTCTTTAAATAATACATTATATTGCAATGGTACTAATTCTCATGGTGGCATTTTATCATTTAAGCAAAATACCATATATGTCAAATAATAAATGTAAAATGAGATTGAAAACAATTGAATCAAAGTAAATGATTATGTTTTTACTTTTACTTATATCATACTACTTATTGATATGATAAACCACCCTACCATACGAATGTATTATATAAAATATATAATTGGATTAAGATTTATTATATAGATTCATTGTATCTAGTGTAAATCATCTGTTTGAATCCTTCAATTCGTATGTAGGGTATAGAGTGAGGCGATTATATAAAAAAGTAAAATAGAAATTATTATATAATTTAATTAAACCCAATAAAATACCGATGCAACGTAATTTCATTTTACGTTACGCTTCACCATTGTTAATAACTGGTGCATTTTTGCTTACATGAAAAATAAATAATTATACCAAATATATAACTACAATAATTTTATATGGTTTAATAACAAATTCCCAATGGAGCAATAGAATGGAGCGGTAAATTGCAATTTTTTCATAACGATAACGATGAATTGTGAATGCAATAAAATGTACAGTAATTAATTATATGTGTATGCTGTGTATGACGACGTGGTTTTTGAATATATATATTTTTTTATGGTAATTTCATCCAAGTTTGTTAACACCGTCAAACATCTAAATGATTAGAAAAACTTTAATCCCTACTTAATTTCTACACCATACATCTCTTGTGATACCATCTATGATTAAGACGATCATTTGACTATTACGTAAATGCATCTGAAAATAGTAAACAATAGATAGCTACAGAATTAAAAATAGAATTCGCGCAGAAATGTCAGATATGTCAAAAAAATAATGAGCTATATTATGGAAAAGTTGTTTCGGAGTTAAAATTCAAAATATTGATTTCGATTTTATACAATCTTCTCATAGCAATTTTTTATTAACAGTAAATATGGCCCTACGGATTCTTCATATCGAAACTCCGCAAATTCAAATGTTCTGCTCAAAGTATATAAAGTGTGGCATATCACGTCTAGGTTAAGCAAATATCAAAGCATCTGTTTAAGTATGGGTACAAATCAAACTGATCAAAGCTCATCTAGCGGTATGACTAGAAATGAGCAAATATTTATAGCACACGGTAAGCGAATATGAAACTTTTTTAATTAACAAATATCTTTACTCAAACTTAATTTTTGACAATCTAGTCGTTTTGTCAATAATTCCATGTCTTATCACCATCCCTCTTGGTATTTTCATCGCGCGCTTTTGTCGTAAAATCATTCCATCAGTTTGGTTTCACTTACACTGGACATTACAAGTTATTTTTTCAACAATTCCTGTTATTGTTGGATTTGTAATAGTCCACCATTTCATGGAAAAATCTCACTTTAACTGGGCTGATACACCACATTCGGTACGTAATTTCAAGTTTTATAAATTTATAAAAATATACAGTATAAATCTAATTTAATTATCAAAATTTACAAATCGAATTTACAGGTAGTCGGGCACATTTTAACCTTCGTAATGGCTTTCGAGCTCATTTTTGGTGTTGTTTACACTTGCTTTAGTAAATGTCATGTAAGGAAATTACGTATAGTTCATAAGTGAGTACTTTATTTTGATCAAATCAATAATATCTCAACGGAATTCTGATAAAATTTTATCGTAATAAGTTATACAGGTAACTTAATACTTATTCTTGCGCTGGTAGAAACTGCGATTGGTATTGCCCTATGGGAAATTCCTCAAATTTGGCTTTATCTTTTCTTTGTATGGCTTGCACTGTTAATTTTAATCTTTTTTATTTCTTACTTTAAAACTCGTGCAAATGAACGCGTAGAAAAACAGGTAGACAACATTTAAACTTACTATAAATAGTTAAATATTTTGAATAGTTTGAAATTTTTATCATAAATAATGTACTATATTCTTTGATTATTATCATGTATTACTATGTTTCATTATTATTATGTATTATTATTATGTATTATTATGTTTTATCTAGAGATGTGGTGAAATTAATTTCACCAATTCAACACCAATTTCACCACTATGATTTTATTTCACAAACATCTTTAGTTTTACCATTATGGTTATTATTTATCCAATGTTAATAAACATTACTTTAAAAATTTAAATTATCGGTATGAAGTTATAATTTAAAAATATCCATATAAGTTCTTTTAAAATTTATGAATATCTTATGAAAATCAATCCTACAGTATTACTCAGATTCTATTAATACTGCTCAATATACTAATATTCTTTGAGATTAATATCCCAAATAATTAAAGCTTTTTATTGTTAGTTTTCACATATAACACCTTCTGTTATAACAAATATATAGTCAGTTTTATAATTGTAGCCTCTCTAAATGTACTTTAACTCTGATCTAACCATATGGTTGGTCTCTATAAGTACAGTTTTTAATTGTTCTCTAAATGCATATTGATAAAAGTCTGTTCCAACAAATCGCACTTAGAAAGAGTTGACTGTTAAACTAAATATCGACATAATAAAATATTTATATACTTCAAATCATTTTTATTACTATTGTTGGTAGTGCTAAATTAGATAGTATTTAACTGTTGCTAATATTATCATTACCTATTTCATTGCATCGTTTGTGGTTGATTTTAAATTCGGCCTGTACTATCTTCTCATCTATATTATACTATTTGCTATAATTTCTTCAAATTCAAATTCAATTGTAATTTTGGATTAATTATAAACTTTTGACAAACCAGTTCTTGTTTAAAAAAAAAAGTAATAGTAAGTAACATAACCGACCAATCAGATTCGTTTATTCCAGACACTTAAAATTTTAGTGATATAAATATTAATTGGAAAAAAATTGATGTAAAGTATAAAATATTTCTACAGTGAAAATATATGCAATAAACAAGAAACTTTTTTTTAAATATAATGAATATTTGAGTAGATAATACAAACGTTGTGTTTTTTTTACTTTTTTTCTTAATTAATCAAAGAATATTAGTATATTGAGCAGTATTAATAGAATCTGAGTAATACTGTAGGATTGATTTTCATA